ACCCTACTCTAATACGAATATAATTAACGTTGTCGATTACTATAGCAAACATACGTTTGCTTCATCGGCACTCCCACCAAAGAGTATGATATAGCAAAGAGGCCTGACGTTCTTTGAAATTAACTTATGCCCTGTGACTCAAGGTTACTCGTGGCAGTGTAGCCGAGTGGTTAGTGTGTCAAGCTTCCATCCTGCACTGTCGCGGTTCGACTCCCGCGAGGTCGAAACTGCAGTCCACTGGTGCCTAGATGAGAACAACTTTTGGGAAAGCAAGGCTATGTGAAATTCAATGGAAACGTCAGTTCAACTCATATCATATAACAGACATGGAAACCATTTAAGCATAGTCGGTATGATGTATCTTAAATCTATGGATTTTGATGAGGTATAAAATGAGTTTGTTATTTCAATTCATATCAAGCTGAAACATGCGCATGACTATGTTTGCGTGTACTTCGAATGAAAGTGTTTTATAAAAAGTCGATTTAATCAGAGGACTATAAAGGATTCTTTACTTGTTGGTCATGATTTCAATTATAATCATACTATACTTCCTAGTATTCTCCCCCCCTTCCGACATACAGGCACATAAGCACACGCACGCCCAGACGGAAAAAAGCTCTTGCAATCGCATTAGGGGTCATTAAACTTTGATGGACGAAGATAGATGTTACGCTCTGCTGGTTTCTTACAAACAATCGCACACAAAAATACACACATGTGCTTCTGGTTTGACATATGATTTAACTAACCAATTCACCCTGTACACCATTCAAATGCTCAGTTGTGGAGCGCCTATGCAGCATTTAGGGATAAGACATTGATTGCTCTTCAATATGGTTGTATGCATGAAACTATGCTTTAATTATTTCCAACGAAGACGTAGCACATTTTCACCCGAATCCAGTCACCCTAGGTGGCATAAGGTTAGAAATAGTTAAGAAATTTAATGATATTTATGTAGCCTACTTACTATGAATATGAGTAAAGTAGAATAATGTACTGGCAAAATACAAATTTAATCATAAAATGTGAATAGGAGAGACCTGGCCTTTCCCAAAATTTAAATGGCTCAGAGATATTCGTAGCTGTGTTGCTTGGTGGTTACATGCACTACACGGTTTCAACTCTCACTGACGATGCAGATGAGACCTATACGAGGTAAAAACTGCCCTCTAACCTGGATTAAAATACCATTCGGGAAACAAGTCTAGCTGAGTCCTACTGATAACAATTTAGGAAAATTGTATTTTCAGTCCTTCGTCAGATTATGCGCTCTAGGGTGATTAAATATCACCGAGTTTGGGTGCCTCAGAAACAGGGGGTCGACTAGCAACTTCGAATCTCTTCAGCATACACATTTATTCGAAATCGAACCGAGCCCGATCGTTTATAACTCTTTGTGGATACATTAACTCGTAGTGTTTTCCACAGGCAAGTGAAGGAAAGTTTTATTCCAACCTCTGAGACATTGATCAGGTGAGCTGAAAAATATCTCAGAGTTTGCCTGTAAGAAGCACACAAATCGGTTCCACTTAACTTAGCCCGGCTTAGTAACACTAGGCTGACTCTTCGCTTATCCTCGTGCCACCTCTCGAGTGGAACCGAGGGCTGGGATAAATTGCCCAAACTATGTGTTCATAAATGCGGGTGTCCGTGTATGTGCATACATGCATATGTGTGTGCATGTGTTTTCCTATGCCTATGATGTATGCGGGTATTCGGGTTTTTCAAATGTGCGTCCTTGCGTGGAAAGGGGACGAGTTGGCGAATGAAATAATGAAAGAATTAATTAATGCCGAAATCAATCAACTAATGAATGAATATTCGAGTGAGACTAAGAGAAGCTTGGCCATATCGAAGACTGGTGGGTGGAAGAAGAGATAACCGCTTGTACAGCAGATCCACTCGGTGATCGATAGGAGAAGAAGAGTATCGAAAAGTTGCCGGTGGGTTGGTGATGCCGAGTAAGCGAGAAGCTCGGCTCTCGTTTGCAGACGGGCATCGCACTTGAGACTCCCCTCATTGCTTGGGCGAAAAGCCCAGCCCAAAGTGCCTGACTGGGCAGGCTTTCGAGGAGAATTGTGATTATGAAAGTCCCTTGCCTGCACCGGGAAAAACTGAAAGACTACTTAACATACAGACACTGGCTATGCACAGTTTCTGTGCCGTCGCCGTGTTCTTTTCGGCTTTGTCTCGAGTCCCGACACAGACACCACTGCCCCAACAAGGGAGGGCATGGCGAACCAATGCGGCACGAGTCCTCGCGTCGGAACGGTAAGGCTCTTCGTCGACCTGCTCCACTTTTTCATCGACAATCAGAAGCAAGCATGCATGCTGCAGTTGCCAGTCTCGAATATGAATCTCCCAGTTTACAACTGGTCATGACGCACATTTCATTTAGAATTGTGTGTATATGTGTGCATGCGTGTGTGTGTGTGTATGTGTGTGTGGTGAAGCGATTCGCGAGAAGATCCTGCCAGAGATAGCATGCCTTTACTTGAGCGTTTAGCTAATTAAGGTATTATTGTATGATAATATGAAATGTAGAGATTCCAAGTTTGATACTATCGGAAAGCTACCGCAGATTCCTGATTAGTTCAACCTGTAAGAGTGTACCTTTTTGGAAGCAGGGCTAAGGACAGTTCAATGGAAACTTGTACGATTGTCGGAAAGATACAACTATCGGTGCTTCATCATCGGGATGTGCCAAGCTTTCTTCCGTCGTATGACGGACAACATTAGAAACGGTCATTATTCCTACGACCACACTA